TTTTTCCTTTTCTTTTTCCTCTGTTCTTTTTATTTGCACTCAGTAATTGTTCCACTCATTTTATTTTTACACTCTTTTTTCTTTATTTTCAACATGAAGTCTCATACTTTTCATTTTTACATTGATTAACATATAACCTCCTAGCCAAACTTTGGTGTTTAGAATTGGTCTTCCGCTCTTCCTTTGTGGATGAATATCTAATTGAGGTAATTCCACATTCTTCCTTCCCTGCACCCTTTCCTAACTCATTATTTTCAAATCCTTAACGAGTAACGATCAGTATTATCGACCTTCTTCTCTTCATAAACCGAGTTTTGAATCTAGTTGGCGTTACCACTAGGTCGAGCTCTTCTTGATTTAGAGCGTTGGGGCAGCTTGTAAACTCTGCAACTCCTTTCTCATATCTTGGACAGAATGTTTGAAAGTTCTAAACTGTCCTAGGAATTGACTCCATTAACAAGTTTCAACTGGGGATCCTCCATTTTGACTTCCCTCCCCACTAGTTATCTCCAAATGTGCCGTGCACTCATGGTAGTTGTTCAAAATAGAAATTCACAAAAACATTTGAGTCAGTGATAAAGCAGCTTCCCTTCACGTGTTTACACTCCTTTAAATCACTCCATGCAAATCCTCCAATTTGTACTTCAGAATTTTCAGGCCCCAAACCAATCAATCTCAAAGCACGTTTAGAACACAAGGAAAAATAAACCTTAACAAAAGAAACGATTAAGGCACAATTCTAGAAAGAAAACTCAAAACAACAAATGAATGGTAGCACAAGACAAAACAATGTACTACTTGATTATTTTAATAGAGTGTGTGGAACAAGCAAATACACCCTAACAATATAAATGAAGCAACAGATAGCACAAAAACAAGAAAATACGAAACTAGGAATTTGAAGACGAAATTTCTGGATATATTGCATGAATTTAGTTGCACTTACAACAGCCAAACCAAAATATGGACCTAATTAATTCTTAACCCAATCAAAGGCAAAGCAAACAAAGAAAAACCAAAAAAAAAATTTTTTTTTAAAGGTACTGTAGCCAAGTTTGCTTCTGAGTTTCCATGTAGCCAAGGTTACAGACTGTAGCAGACGTTTTTAAGGTACCTGTAGCAAGTTTGCTTCTTGCAGTTCCTGCTAGCAAGTTACTGGTAGCACACCGTTTTGAACTTTATAATCCTCACTTAACCTACAAATGTGACCCAAATTTAGTAGGGTAAGCCCCTTAACAAGTTATAAGTGGAATGTTTGGTTTTTTATTTTGTTGGTTTTTTTCTTTCCCCCCAATTTCCCAATTTTTTTTAGGGTTAAAAGGTATATGAATTAATATTTGTAGGTGGTCAACAATGAATTGTTGTTGTTTTTCTTCAAGATAAGATCCCAAATCAAAGTCAAAATTATTTAATATCCTTCAATTGAATGTGAAGATAGACTATTGATACGGATCCACTACCACCAACCACCCTTATGGGGCTCAAAGGGATAACAACAACCACAAACAATGGCAAATCATTTAAGCACTTCCTTAGTTGGACCAATTACAAGAGCCTGTGCAAAGAAGTACTTGGAGCAACCATGTCCTTACACATACAAAACAACGTTACAAAAAGAGCTTCCATGACCTGTGCTTTTCAAACAAGTGCTAATGAAGACTTGAAGGAACACCTAAGTCTCACATTAATAGAAGCACATGTTGAGTGGGGGAACATGAATTGGTTTAGCCGCCCCGTGCTAGATTGGCACACCCCAGTCCCTTTGCCCTCGTCCTGACTCTGAAGCACCCCCGTGCTAAATAGCACACCCTGGCCGTGCCTTCCCTCTGGTACTCTCAAAAGAAGGGGAACTCCTACATTGAAGCACCCGCCCCGTGCCCACCCAAATAGCACCACCCAGGCCGTGCTTTGTCACTGCCTCTCATTAAGTTAGTTAGGCTTTATTTTGGAAGTGCAGTTTGCCTCTCATTTTAGTTAATGGGTGGGCCGTCCAAAATTTCGGGCCACCTCCGTTGAATTATATTAGCCTTATTTATGTTTAGATTTAGTCAATCGTTTAGTAGATTAGGGTTTTAGGACATCCAAATCCTTAAGTTGTTATGATTTTGTTAGTCTTATCCTTAGTTTGGTTTTAGATTTGCTAAAATCCTACTCCTTAGCTAACTTCTAAAATCCTTAAGGATCTGGACCTTTTGCTGAAGATATATGACATATAGATTATTTATGATGATATATAACAGATTTAATTCCAATGGAATATAAGACCTACTTCTCATGCTTAGGCGTGTTCATGTTTCTAGTTAGAGAGTGTGAGATTGTATCGATTCTATCTAAATTGCAATACAAGAAATCAGGTAAAACTCTATCAATTCTTATGTTGGCGCTTTATAACTTTATTTCTTTTACCTCTTATTAATTGAATTGTTCTTTGCTTCTTTTAAGCTTGAGGTTGCCAATTAGAAGGGAGAGTTTATTCTAGATTCTCATTGAGTCTCTTTCCAAAACTTGTCATAGGAGTTCATGAAATTTTATTTTCCAATTGGGTATTCTCGCATCAGTTTGGTTATTCATGAGTGTCCAAAGATTAAGGTGAAATTCTATATTTATCTTAGTTTCTTAGGGTTTATGTTTATTTGTTTTATTGCGTTCTTCTTGTTTTTGTGGCTTTGTTATTCTTCTTCATCTTGTTTCTTTTGTGTGTTTTGTATATACTTGTTGTTTAGTTTCAATTCGTTTTGCTTCAATTAAAATTCATAAATTATCGTTTCTTGTTTCAATTCCTGAAGTTTAGATCGTTAGAACCTTGTTGATTTAAAAAAAAAAAAAAAAGAGTATAGAAAATTTCGTCCCACCATTGAATTTGTGTGTGTGGATCTGATTTTTGTTCCTGCAACCAAAAGATTTGGATCCGTAATCCCAAAGGGGATTATACTATTTTGTGGATTTTGACCTATTTTTGTGGGATTATTCCTATATCCTTAAGAAGATTTTGACCATGTACATTGTGGGATGTGTTCCTAATCCTAAGGCGATTTGATCCATATTTTATGGGATTTAGTTTATCCCACTACAAATCTTGTGATAAAATCCAATCCTTAACTACTTGTATAAGATAACAAAAATTAGTTGACCATAATCTTTGAGATTGAGGCAAAAATCTGTACTTACCAATCCTTGTCAAATCTAAGGAATCCTTACTTAAATTGGGTGCATTTAAAAGAGGACACAAGGGCAGCACGCCCGTGCTTCACCTTCAAGCACAACCGTGCACTTTTGCTGGACTTCCACTTATTAGACTAGGCATTAAACAAACGCACGCCCGTGCTTTCTTCTAGCACACCCGTGCCCCGATTCCTTGTCCATTGTTTTTCTCTTGATTACTTGTGCTTTGTTTTGGGGTTAGAATTAATTTAGGTCCATATGTGGTTTTGCTTTGTGAGTAAGCTAAATTCATACATTTATATCCTAATATTGTCTTTTTTTAAATTCTAGCTTTTCTTGTTTTTGTGTGAACTTTCTATGCTCTTATTACATTGTTAGGTTGTATTGCTTGTCACTAACACTCGTAATTGATCATTCAAAGTTAGTGCAGTTGTTTTTGTGTTCTTGTGCTACCTGTCCATAACCGTTTTGACTCTACCTTTCTAGAAATTGTTGCTTGCTTTGTCATTGTTAAGTTTTATCCTTGTGTTCTAAACGTGATGTCTTTGAGTGATTGGTTGAGACTAGAGATTCTGAAGTTCAATTGGTATATAAAGAATTGCAAGGAGTCTGATTCAAGAGTGTAAACACGTGAAGGGAGTGATTTATCAACTAACCCTAATCTTTTTGTGTTTTTTCCGTTTTTGAATACTAACCATGGAGGTAATAGGGCAAATCTGGAGATGGTAATGATGGAATTTCCAATTAAAGATCCTCAATTAAAACTCTTCATGGAAGCAATTCAAGGACAGTTTAGAACCGTTCGAGCAGTGATCTTGTCAAGACGATGAGGGGAAGATTTGCAACGAGATAAAAGCTTTCCCCAAAGCTCTAATTACAAACTAGAAACTCGTCCACAAACTAGAATTTCAAGACCAGTGAGTTGTTTGAAGAGGGTGAAGCGGAGACCAAGTCCAAATAAAACATTGAATGGAGACTTGGGAATCAATTAAGATTTGAGGATTCCAGAATATCAAAGGTCAACAACAATTGCTGAAGAGTACCCTTGAAGATGCGGAGGAAGGGAAGGTCGAACAAATCTTTGATATTGCCATAAACTTATTCTCAAGAAAAAGAAGAAAATCTCATCTTGCAGCTGGCCTTGAATTTCAAAGGGTTTATGCTATGGTTTGGTGGGAAACAATTTGCTAGTTGAAAAGAAGAAGGAGGGGTATTACGACCCGTGACCACCATGGGAGGCTCATGAAAGGAACTAATGCACCAAAAATTGTGTTCCCTACTCATACTTTTAGGGGGATTACACAATAAATTAGCCTTAGAATGGTTCAAGGAGGAAGGAGTGTGGGAAAGAAATTACTACAAGGGAGATTGGAGATTTGCATGGCAAGAGCAAGATTTTTGAAGAAGATGAGCTAATCACCATGTCACGATTTCCTTGGAGGTCTAAATAAAGATATTGCAGATGCCTTAGAAGATTGTATAGGTATGATACCTTGGAGGATATGATAGATATGGCCATGAGAACTTTGAAAAGACAGAAAAAGCGGGGAGATCCACACCAATAGTAGTTTTTCCAACAAACACACTGGGGATCTAACATGCCCTAAAGAAGGTGAAGATAGAAGGAATTTAGAAGGTCTTAATGTCTCAAAGGACAAGATCTCAACTTCAAAAGGTAAAGAAGCTGTCCAAACTCCCATTCAAAGCAACAAGGTTACCTCTAACTCCTATAACCCCTTCTAGAGAAATTAAATGTTTTAAGATTGTTTTTGGGGAAAGGACATTATGCATCTCCATATGTCCTAATTAAAAGGGTTCAATGTCCTAATAAAAGGGTTATGATTGCTAAAGATGATGGGAATGTTAGTTCTGAATCTGAATGTAGTGATTATGATGATATGCCTAATTTAGATGATAATAATGATGATTCAGAAAATTTAATACTTCCTGAACATGGAGAAGCTTTGGTTGCTAGACGTGCTTTGAACATGCATCTTAAAGAAGAAAGCCTTGAGCAACGTGAGAACATATTTCACACTAGATGTTTGATTAGCAGAAAAGTATGTACTCTTATTATTGATGGGGGTAGTTGCACTAATGTTGCTAGTGTAAACATGGTAAACAAACTGAACTTGACTTGTCTCAAGCATCCTAAAACCTTATAGGTAGCAATGGTTGAAATGATAGTGGGAAGTGAAAGTGACTAACAGGTCTTTGTGCCATTTTCTATGGATGGTATGAAGTGAGATGAAATTTTGTGTGATATAGTACCTATGCAAGCTGGACATCTATTGTTGGGAAGACCATGGCAATATGATAGAAGAGCGCTTCATGATGGCTTCCACAACCGATATTCTTTGATCCATAAGGGGAAAAAGGTGGTTCTTGTACCATTATCACCTCAAGAGGTATATGAAGATCAAAGAAAGATAGTTGAAAGAGAAAGAGAGGTTTCGGCCTTGAGAAAACATGAGAGTGAAAATTTGAGAATGAGAGAACAAAAGAGAGAAAAGAGTAAGGATGAGGGAAAAGAGGCCACAAAAATAACAAAACAAATAAATGGCCCAATTGTGAGTGAAAAACAGACAAGAGTAGAGAAGAGAAAAAGAAACAGACTTTTTATGCAAGAGTTAGAGAGGTTAAGTGTGCCATTGCCTTGGAGAAGCCCATATTGCTTCTTAGGTACAAGGAAATTTATTTGCTGAAACTAATGCTAACCTTGATAGTTTGCCTTCTATGTTTGTTTCTATGTGGCAGGAATTTGATGATGTCTTTCCTAGTGAATTACCTAGTGGTTTACCACCTTTAAGAGGAATAGAACATCAAATTGACTTTATTTCTGGATCCACCATTCCAAATAGGCCTGCCTATAGAAGCAATCCAATGGAAACAAAGGAGTTGCAAAGGCAAGTTGATGAACTAAATCTTATGGGAAGGTTTGGTGAGAAGAAAAGCATCGATCCCGTGATAAGATTACCACGTGCTTCTGTACCTAGGTAGGACAGATTGTTTTGATTGTAGGAGCGGTCAACAAAATCACTATAAAGTATAGACCCCTAATCCCTAGACTTGATGAATGTTAGATGAATTGGCATGGGCAACTTACTTTACTAAAAATTGATTTAATAAGTGGTTACCAATCCAAACCATTAGAATGCAAGCTCAAGTGATGAATGGAAAACTGCTTTTAAACTAAGTATGGTTTGAATGAATGGTTAGTTTATGCCTTTTGGATATCTTAATGCACCTAGTATTTTATGAGGCTTATGAAACCATGTATTGCGTGCCTTCTTAGGAAAGTTGTAGTTTGTAATCTTTGATGATATACTCATCTATAGCAAGTCTCTAATGATCATATTGAGCATGTTAGCGATGGTGTTACAAAACTTTGAGGATAGAAAGTTGTACCCTGCCTAAACTTAACAAATGCACGTTTTGTTAAAGATAGACTTGTATTTCTTGGTTTTTAATTGTGAGTGCACAGGGTATTGAAGTAGATGAGGAGTAAAGTTAAAGCTATCAAAGAATGGCCACTCCCAAATCAGTTTCCTGAAGTTAGGAGTTTTTCAGGTTGGCGAGCTTCTAAGAAGATTTTGTTTAGAGATTTCCCTCTTCAATTGCAAGCCCACTAACAGAAATTATCAAAAAGGAAGGTTGGTTCAGTGGGGAGAAGAACAACAAAGGGCATTCTGAATAAAAAAATAAACACTAAAAGGAAGTTAACTTCTGCACCTATACTTTATTTGGCCTAAATTTTTTGGAGAATACTTTTTGAGATTGAGTGTGATGGCTTCTGGAGTGGGAATTGGGGCTGTCCTATGCAAGAAAGAAGCCAATTGCCTGAGCTTTTAGTGAGCAGTTGCTAGAACACAACTCAACTAATTCAACCTATACAAAGATGCTTGTATGCCTTTGGTAAGGAACTTTATATGTTTGGCAACACTACTTATTACCTGAAAGAGGTTTGTCATCCATCTGACCATGAGGCCCTAAAAACACTTGAAGGTCAAGGTAAGCTAATAAAAGACATGCGTCAGTGGGTTTTGAAATTTTATTGAACAATTTTCCATGATGTGATTAAATACAGCATGGAAAAAGACAATGTTGTTTGCTGATGCATTATCAAGAAGATAACTCTAGATTACTGCTTTTGTTCTAAATTGCTTGGATTTGAGTATGTTAACGGAATTGTATGTGAATGATTCTGATTTTTTGGCAACAATAAATAGCATGTGAGCATGGAGCATTTGATAAGTTCTATAGACATGATGGGTATTTGTTTAAGAACAACAAACTTTGTGTGCCTAAATGTTCTATGCGTCAATTGCTTGTGCTTGAATCTCATAGTGGGGGATTGATGGGACACTTTGGGGTACATAAGACTTATGATATGTTAAATGAACAATTTTATTGGCCTCACATGATTAAAGATGTAGAGAGGGTTTGTAACTCTTGTATTACTTGCAAACAGGCCAAATCTAAGTCTATGCCTTATGGATTATACATGCCTTTACCTGTTCCTAGTTCTCCTTGGATTGATATATCTATGGACTCTGTACTTGGATTACCTAGGACTAAACGTGGTAAAGATAGCAAATTTGTTGTTGTTGATAGATTTAGGAAGATGGCTCATTTCATTCCTTGTCATAAAATTGATGATGCCAACAATATTGCTGAATTATTCTTTAAAGAAGTGGTAAGATTGCATGGGGTACCAAGAACTATAGTTTTCGATAGAGATGCAAAGTTCCTCTCACACTTTTGGAGAGTTTTGTGGGGAAAGCTTGGGACTAAATTGCTTTATTCTACAACTTGTCATCCACAAACGGATGGGCGTGTCCAACTCAACATGTGCTTTCAATAACGTGAGAAACTTAGGTGTTCCCCATGCTTCCTTGCACTTTATGGTTGAGTGGTATCGATTCCATATCATCTCATTCCTGTAAAACTCACGTCTTTTACTGGTCCACTAATCTAGTATTTAAAACCAATTATAGTTATTAGCCAACTAAAAGATAAGACCAGATAATAGGGTTGACTCCCTTCATAATAGGATTCCTTAATGGATTGGAATTAAATAAACTAAAATAAAAGATAAGAAGAGACGGTTATATTAAACACGATAGTGTTCTTTTAAAATAAGAAAACTACCTTGCCCTCATCTTTCATCTATAAAGGAAAAACTAGAAAATCCTTTTGTTAATTTTTTTTTTTTTTGTTTCCATCATTAAAATTACATACCTGCTAGTTATTTTAAGTAGACAGAGAGAAGAAGTGTGACAAGTAATAAAGTTTCAAGAAAGGATATTGTAAAGTTTAACCAGGGCTGCATCTTCTTCTATTGTATTTTTCTAAACCTTTAAGTAAATTCTTAAGGTATATTGAATTCAAAGATCTTTATATTTCATTCTACATTAAATTTATATTTTATAGTTGGTATCAAAGCCAACTTAGTTGATGATACGGATCCACCACCACCAACCACCTATGGAGCTCAAGGGAACAAGGATCACAACAATAACAATCCATTAGCACTTCCTAGTGGACCAATTGCAAGGAGTCATGCAAAGAAGTATGGAGCAACCATGTCCTTATACATTCAAGGGCAAATCACACAAGAGCTCCATGACCTTGCTTTCAACAAGTGCAACACAACAAGTAGCTATGAAGAACTTAAGAAACACCTAAGTTTCTCACATTAATAGAAGCACCATGTTGAGGTTGGTAAGCCGCCCTGCCAGGTGGCAACGCCCCAGACCGTGCAAGCTACTGCTCTCAAAGAACAACACATGATTTGGAGCACGCCCGTGCCAATTTAGCAGGCCCCAGGCGTGCACTTCTCTGCCTCTTCGCAGGAACAACTCATCCATGCGCGCACGCCCATGCCCAATGTAGCACGCCCCAGGCCGTGCACTTCTCTGCCTTCTCGCGAGACACTCATCCATCCGCGCACTGGGCCCCGTGCAATTGCACGCCCAGCTGTGCACTTCTCTGCATCTCGCGAAGGAATGTCATACAATGCCGCCACGCCCGTGCACCTTGCCACGCCCTAGAACCGTGCAACTCCTGCCTCTCAATATTAGTTAGTTTATTTTTGAGTTTTTGCTTTGTTAATGGGTTGGTGGGCCCTCCAATATTTTCGAACCACCTTGATTAGTTAGCCTTAATTTTGATTAAATTTAGTCAATCTAGTGGAGTTTGGATTAGACTCAATCCTTTTAAGTTGTTATCGGAAATTTTGTTTAGTCAACTCCTTAAGTTGGTTTTAGACTTTGCTAAATCCTACCTCCTTAGCTTAACTCTAAATCCTCAAGATCTGGACTCTTAAGATTAGTATAATAGCTTGTTATTTTTGTAATTATTAACAATTTTATTCATATGAATTAAGACTACTTCTTCATGCTTAGGCGTGTTCATAGTTTTTGTTAAGAGAGTGTGAGATTGCATTCTTCTAATTGCAATCAAGAATCAAGGTAAACTTATCAATCTTTGTGGCGTTTGAGTCTTATTCTTTTACTCTATTTATTGGGTGTTCTTGCTTCTTTAAGGCTTTGGGTGCCACCATAGAGGGGAGTTTATTCTAGATCTTTGATCTCTTCTAAAACTTGTCATTGAGTTCATGAAATTTATTTTCATTAGGTTCCGCGTCAGTTGAATTCACATATCTTAAAATATTTTCATGTTTATATGTATATCTGATTGTTGAATTATAATTCAGTAAATTATGTTCATTTCTTAGTTATCAAATATTAAAGAATGACTCATATAAAAGTAGAAATATATATATATATATATGATAGTCAATTTAGCTTTCATAGTTTATGACAGTTACCAAAGTGACTTGAAACATTGAAATTTTATGATAGCAAATTACATAAAAATATATATAATATTTTTCAAAATTTTTTTAATTAGTAGATTGGGACTAGCCCAAAGGAGAGTCACTTTTTATTAATTATATGTAATAAAATATGATTTGTTTTTACTTGAAAAGTTTAAATGGATACACAAAGGTGACATGTAAGTAGTACAAATTCATTTTACAAAGTTATGATTGAACACTAGATATACTGTAGTTTTACCCAAAGGAAAAATTAAAGTGATATCAGTAGTTCATCATTTATAGTTTTAACAAACTTGAGGCCTTATATGAGCATTATCTTATTTTCTACAATTCCAACTTCATTGCATTCTCTTGCTTCTGCAATAACAACTTTTGATGGGTCGAATTTTTCGGAATGGTATGAAAGGGTTCAGTTCTCATTGGGTGTATTAGATCTTGACATGGCTTTATTAAATGAGAAACCTCCAAAAGTTACTATAGAAAGTACTATAAAGGAGGCGGAACATTCAAAGGCTTGGATCAGGTCAAATAGACTCAGTCTTATGTTTATGAGAATGACCATTGCAGCTAATATCAAGACTTCTCTTCCTCAAACTGAGATAGTCTCAGAATTTTTGAAATCTATGAAGGAATGTTTTAAATGCGTCGATAAGTCTCTTGCTGGCACTTTGATGGCTAAATTGACCACAATGAAATATGATGGTCAAAAAGGAATTCAACAACATATTCTTAACATGAATGAAAATGCTGCAAAACTTAATGCATTAGGAATGAATGTTTATGAATCCTTCTTAGTGCAGTTCATCCTTAACTCACTTCTTCCCAGTTTGCTCCATTAAGATCCACTATAACACTACTAATGAGCAATGGAAGTTGAATGAGCTAACTAGTAAGTGTATTCAAAAGGAAATGAACATGAGGCAGATCCACTATAACACTACTAATGAGCAATGGAAGTTGAATGAGCTAACTAGTAAGTGTATTCAAAAGGAAATGAACATGAGGCAAGATGGACAACATTTAGCTCATACTGTAACTCATGGAGCTATGAAGAAGAAAGGCAAATTTGGAAAAAGAAAGAATTTTTCCACCAAGAAATGTAAGTGGACATCGAGAAACTAGCCAAAGACATGATGGAAAATTTATTGTCAAATGCAAGAAAGGACATGTAAAGAAGGACTGTATCAAATGCAAGAATTGTTTTGAAAAGAAAGGTATGCATTTTGCTTTTATATGTTATGAATCAAACCTTGCTAAAGTTCCTTCTAATACTTGGTGGGTTGATTCTTGAGCCGCTACTCATGTTACAAATTTTATGCAGGGATTCCTTACAACCTAGAAACTGATGGAAAGTGAAAATTTTCTCTATATGGAAAACCGCCTCAAAGTAGAAGTGGTAGTTGTGGGTACCTATCGCTTACTCTTAGAGACTAGCCATTAGCTGGACCTCATGAACACCTTTTATGTACCTTCATTTTCTAGGAATTTAATTTCTGTATCCAAATTAGATGATTCTAGATATTCAGTTACTTTTGGTTGTAGAAGACTATGTTTTTTTATTTAACTTAGTGATTGTTGGCTCTGGTGTTTTATATGATGGTTTATAAAAAATTTCTTTAAATCTTGAATTTGTACAAGCTTTAGTAACCTTCCATTCAAATATTGGCTCAAAACGTGGCTTAATCAAAGAAAATTCTTCATTCTTATGGCATAAAAGGGTGGGGCACATCTCGAGGGAAAGAATTGAAAGATTAATAAAGGATGGAATTTTGCAAAATATAGACTTTACTAATTTTCAAGTATGTTTGGATTGCATTAAAGGAAAGCAAACCAAGCATACAAAGAAAGGTGCCACAACGAGTAATGAGCTTCTTGAGATAATAAATACATATATTTGTGGACCCTTTTCAACTCCTTGTTTCACAGGAGAGAAATATTTTATCACCTTCGTGATGATTTGTCTCGTTATGGTTTTGTATATATAATTCATGAGAAATCTTAGGCTATTGACATCCTTGAGGTGTACATTACAAAAGTTGAGAGAAAATTACATTGAAAAGTTAAAATTGTTAGATCAGATCGAAGTGGTGGGTACTATAATAGATATGATGAGTCAGGAAAAAAATGGCTTATTTGCTAAATTCTTAGAAAAGCGTCGCATTCGTGCTCAATATACAATGTCAGGGACACCACAACAGAATGTTGTTGCTGAAAGGCATAATCATACTTTAATGGAAATGGTTAAGAGTATAATGAGTTATGCAATTGTACCTATTTCCTTGTGGGGTGAAGCTTTAAAAAGCAAATTTATATCTTGAACAGAGTTCCTAGTAAGGCAGTCCCAATAACTACTTTTGAGTTGTGGACTGGTAGGAAACCTAGTTTGAGACATTAACATATATGGGGTTGTCCGACAAAGGCAAGAATCTTTAACCCACATGAGAAAAAGTTAGATTCAAGAACTATATCTAGATTCTTTATTGGTATCCAAATAAGTCAAAAGGGTACAGAGTTTATTGTCCTAACCAAATATGAGGATAGTAGAAACCGGAAATGTCAGATTCCTAGAAAATGGAGAGTTTAGTGGGAGTAATGAACCTAGAAAGGTAGAACTTGAGGAAATAAGAGTGGATATTCTACCACCATTTTTACCTCAAGAACTTATTGCACCTCAATCTTCTCAACAAGTTGATATAAATGATCAACAAGAAAGAGACGGTTCATTACCCTAGGAAGATGTCGTCATTGAAAATATTGTAGAAGCACCACAACCTGTAGCTTTGATAAGATCTCAAAGAGAACAAAACACTGCAATTTCTAATGATTATATGGCGTATTTACAAAATTCAGATTTCGATATTAGGAAAAAGAAAGACCCGGTTTCATTTTCACAAGCCATGGAAAGTAATGATTCTAATAAATGGATTGATGCTATGAATGAAGAGTTGAAATCAATGGACCACAATTGTGTTTGGGATCTCTTTAAACTGCCTTCTAACTGTAAAACTATCAGGTGTAAATGGGTCTTTAAGACCAAACGCAATGCTAAAGGCAATATTGAATGATTTAAAGCTAGACTAGTGGCCAAAGGTTTTACACAAAAGGAAGGCATTTATTATAGAGAGACCTTCTCGCTAGTTTCAAAGAAGGATTCTCTTTGAATTATCATGCAACTTGTAGCTCATTTTGATTTAGAGTTATATCCATTGGACATTAAAACCGCTTTTCTGAATGGAAATTTAGATGAAGAGCTACATGGAACAACTTGAAGGATTAGTAAAGAAAGGAAATGAGCATTTAGCTTGTAAATTAAAGAAATCCATTTATGGTCTTAAACAAGCTTCTAGACAATGGTATATAAAATTTAATAATACCATTACATCTTTTGGATTTAAAGAAAACATCATTGATCACTGCATATATCTGAAAGTCAGTGGGAGCAAGTTTATATTTTAATATTACATGTGGATGATATTTTGTTAGCTAGTACTGATATTAGTTTGTTACATGAAACCAAGGAATATCTCCCTAAGAACTTTCAAATGGTTAATGTGGGTGAGGCAACCTATGTCATTGGCATAGAGATCTTTAGAGATCGATCTCAAGGATTACTAGGCTTGTCTCAAAAAGGATATATTAATCGAGTTCTAGAGAGATTTATTATGCAGTTATGTTCAGCCAGTGTTGCACCCATTCAAAAGGGTGACAAATTAAGTAATAAACAGTGCCCAATGAATGATTTGGAAAGGGAACAAATGAGAAAAACTCCTCATGCATCAGCTATTGGGAGCTTAATGTATGCCCAAACATGCACTAGGCCAGACATTGGCTTTACTGTTGGAATGTTAGGAAGATACCAGAGTGATCCAGGATTTGAACAATGGAAAGCAGCAAAGAAGGTTATGAGGTACTTTCAAGGAACAAAGGATTATATGCTCACATATAAAAGATAAGAAAAATTAAAAGTCATTGGGTTCTAAGATTCAGATCATGGTGGTTGCCTAGATAGCTTAAAGTCCACTTCTGGATTTGTCTTTACGTTAGCAGGTGGAGCAATTTCATGGAAGAGTGTGAAGCAATCCATTATTGCTTCATCCACAATGGAAGCCGAGTTTATTGCATGTTTTAAAGACTCGAGTCATGCTTTGTGGTTGTGAAATTTTATCTCAAGACTTGATGTTGTTGACTTAATTGCCAAGCCACTAAGAATGTATTTTGATAATGCAGCAGCTATTTTCTTCTCTAAAAATGGAAAATAATCATGTGGGTCCAAACACATGGACTTAAAGTATTTGGTTGTTAGAGAAAGAGTCCAGAAACAAAAAGGGTCAATTGAAAATATTAGTACTGCACTTATGATTGTTGATCCATTAATTAAAGGGTTACCTCCAAAAACATATATGGAACATGTTGTTGGGATGGGTCTTTTGAGTAATCCATGATATGTAATTTATGGATGCGCATTAAGAATTTGTTTTTGTCTATTCTTGTTTTTCAATTACGGGTGTACATCTTGATTGCTTGACAGATAAGAATTGTTTTGACAAAACAAATTATTGGGGTTGTTTCATTAGAATATTGAATTAATGATTGTGATTAATGTATAGTACATAGAAGGGTCATAGGACCGCTATGACTCACATTTGTAAGAATAATTAATTTCAGTATTATAGTATTTTAATTTGGGATTGTTGGCTTATATCAAATTTCGTGATCACGTGTCAAATGTATTTTGCTTTATTTTTTTTTTTTCTTATCTTTTTCATAATCAATTTAGTGAACCCATTGGGTGAATGTAAAACTCACGTCTTTAACTAATCACTAATCTAGTATTTAAAACCAGTTACAGTTATTAGCCAACTAAAGGATAAGACCAAATTCTTAAGGTATGTTGAATTCAAAGATCTTTATATTTCATTCCACATTAAATTTATATTTTACAATTCCTTCTCTTGACACTCCCTTTAGTACGGTTACTGGGTTGTAAGGTATGTTGAATTCAAAGATCTTTATATTTCATTCCACATTAAATTTATATTTTACAATTCCTTCTCTTGACACTCCCTTTAGTACGGTTACTGGGTTGAAGAGATAGGCCAGCGACATGCTTAACACAAGCATATGGCCCTGCAATTCTTAATCAAATTAAACCAATATAAAACGAACAATATCTATCTGCCCCTAGATTACTTCCAAACCCAAATCTTACTAAAAATACTTAAATCAATTAACAAATTATTTAAATAAATGTTACCTGAAATTGGCCCTTTTTTGATGAGGCATATCAAGGGGTCTTTGCTTGGGAAAGCGAGTGCCAATTAAGTTATCATACTGGCTCAATTTAAAGAAGATGGTGAAATGCTTCGATACTAGCACCCATAGAGAATGAGCTCGAAATGCGCCATCGAGAGCAAACCAGAACTGGAGCTTCGGATATGGAGAATGCAACAAAAATGACGTTGTTGATTTATAAGATATTAGGCCAGTGGACAGATTACACCTCTAAGAGCTCCAATTCCAAATTCCATCTTTGAAAAAATGGCTGCAATGTTCAAGACATGTAAGCTACTTTCAAGTGAAGCCACTAGACTACACTCTAAGTAAGCATTTAGTCAATTTGGTCCAAACCAAATCAAACAGGTGCAAACTAAGTAAACCAACAATTTCTTTTAAAGTAGAAATAGAACTAAAGACGACAAATTCAACTTGACTTTAAGGGTATATACTTGATCTGAACCTAGTCAAATTCAAATTTTAGGGTTTTTACTGGGTATGGGTAAGGTTTGAATAAAACTTGAAAGCTTTATTTTTGGTAAAGATAGATATGGGAATTGCTATT